CAATGAATGTCAGGGAAAGGAGAAAATCTTGAAAGAAGCACTTGTAGTTTTAAAATCTATGCCATATATATTTTTTTATTTTTTGCCTTAAGTCATACATTTTAATTTTAATTTTTTGTCTTTTTCACATCTTTTCAACATTTCCTGATTTGGCTTTTGACAACATTCAGTAGCTGAAAATGTTGCAGATACTGGAACTGCTATTGCGCAGTTCAGTGGCTACAAGATGCAGCATGATTTAGCTGCTTTACTGTAAAACTAAATAAACACACATGTCAAGTAAGCACGTAATCAAAGGAAGCAGAAATTTCAACACTTCAGTTGTGTACTCACTCATAATAAATCATGACAGTGGGAGAGGGGTTAAGAAACAGAGAAAATTTAGGTAAAACTCTAAATTTGTCTCAAACGTGTCATTCTTGGTGAGCGCGGCTCAAGTTTCCCCACCGACCACTCCATAAGAATCTATTTCTGCCCGCTGCAGAAGTGAGATCTAGAATGTCGAGCATGCTGGGGGTGGGTGTTGGGGTTCTTGTTTGCTGTTCCCGTAAGTCTCCTAAAACACCACACAGATCCCTCATCGCAGCTGCCCACGGACCACCACGCCCTGCTCTACACAGCCACTTACACCTCTTTTTTTCTTGTTTTTGTTTAGCTGCCATTACAAGAGATCAAGAGATTCCTAAGCGTTTCAGTCTGAACGACAGAACATAAGCAACATTTTCTGCATGAACGCATGCAATATATCCTGAAATAAATGTAAACGTGAAAAAAACCATTACCAAAATGTCTTTTTTTAACCTTCTTTTTAAACTTGAGGAACTGGGTTCAAAGGTTCATAGTAAAGTTATAGATGTTGCCTTCAAGTGTCTGTTGTAAGAACTGGAATAAAAAGCAGACACGGCACTGATTTTGTGAGGTCGAGCTTGGGACTGTGTGGGGGCCCAAACCATCTGTTACAAAGCTCCAAGTTCTTCCTGTGGCTGAGGAGACTTCTTTGTGACTTCAGCTGAATGTTTGGAGTGGCTGTCATGCTGCTTCAATGGATCGCAGAGTTAGGGGTCAGAAACATCCCTCGTGGAAATATGCAGTGAGTGAGAACCTAAACATTTAACGCGCATAAAACCTTCGCATCAATCTACCTATAAATACTGTAAATAAACCAAATGCAATTAAAGAAGTTATAGAAATGTCTTGACACCTCACAATGTGATTAGACTTCAGAGTGTTGCTGTGCACACTGAACCAACTATTTGCACATCTTGTTGATTTTCTAAAATAGGACTTTTTTYCCCCAAAATGTCTGTCTAAGAACACCGAGGGTTTAGAGACCAGGCTGGAATTATGTGCTGTAGACCTTTGGTTTAATTATTTTAGGCAGAGTTTAAAAAAAAATACTGCTACAAACGTTTAAAAAATGTGTCTCACACAACAGATCAGTCTACTTTGTGCTGCACAGATTTATAGCAGTGGCACATACCATTAACAGTTAAATAGGTTACACTTTAACGATGCAAATGCAGGTTTAGTACTGTGAGTGCTGGAAGAGAATTCAGTTTGCTTGGCCGATCGATTTACATTTATTCCCTTTAATTTATATATGGACCAATTTCCATCCAACACTTCAGAGAGCCAACAAACCACCTACTCTGAAGCATGAGATAAATAAGACCTAATATAGTTATAAGGACTGTGAACAGCTGCAGCACAGGCAAAACCAATCAAAACAATCTTAAATTGTTATWAAGACTGAGGTAGTCCCTTTAGGTTACATTGGCAAAACGTTATTAATAATAATAATATTTTAAAGGTAGGCATTTTAAGGTGTAAATTGTCAAATTTACAAAACCTGGGCAAGAACTCTCCTTTATCAGATTGCTGCAGTATGATTGTATGATTGGTCCTCACATGTAAACTTTGTTCCTATTAATTCTTCTGTAAAACAAATCATCTAATTCAAGTTGTCCATAAGACTAAACCATCAGAAATCACCCAACTCTAGTTTGAGACATTTTTTTGTATTAAGTCAACGTAAAGCTGAAAGCAAAAAGAATAAGAGAATAAATTAATAATGCCTGAAAAATTCAATCGGCAAAAAGCAGCTAGAGAGGTGGCCAAGCAATGACTGTGCTGTTGTACTTACAATCATAGATAAGAGAATACATGTTCACTTTATCTTGTGGTGACAATTAAAGATGCATCGACTGTGGTTTAATGGCCGATACCAATCAGGCCAACCACTCAGTATATCCCTAGCAACAATCTGAGTATCCAAAATCTGATATATCCTTTTTAGAAGAGATGAACACACTGAATGTTTGTGTACATGGTTGTCAAACGATTAAATGTTTGAAACTTTCATCAGTATTACAACACTCACCTATTCAGAGTTGAGTTTAACACAGTATCATTTTTCAAGTATAAATACCAAATTGACCCTTCCACAAACAAAGCATTGCCTTCTATAATAAAAAACTAAATGATTTACCAATMTACACGTTTTGACAATAAACATTGTCATCCAAATTGTTGATTTTGAGTGAACATTTAAAATGTTGCAGAAAGGGAAAAACAGAAGAAATGTGAATCAGACGTGTTTCCATCAACTGGCTTGGAGTGAATCAACGGGGCTACACAAAGTAACTATGTCATAAGTTGACGTTATGCATGGTTGTAGTAAACAGGAAGTAGAAGTCGCAAACTCGCAAACATCTCAGGGCAATGGAGAAAAGTTAACGTGTTGCTAATATTGGAAAAGTTGTAATTATTCTGTCTTGTTTGCTGTCAGAACTTAATCGGCAAATGTGTTTCCAGCTCCCATTTTGCACATTTCCTCTTTTTCGAAAAATCCAAAATCCACCTCAAGTGAGCGTATTAACTTTTTTGCAAAATAGCGCAAGTTTTTTTCCGAATCGTGCCATTTTCATTCACCTTTTCTAATGTGATACTTCAAAATGTGCATAAAAAATGTTGATGGAAACACAACTTGTGATCCACTGACTTCACAAGACATTTTCACGATTCGTGCCTGTAATAAGCTGGTCATGAACCATTCTAATAATGTTATTACAGTAGAAATACAGTGTGTGAGCATAGCAGGCCGCATCCTACTGAGAGTATGCTTGGGCAGTACGAAGGTACTGCGGTATCAAAAGGTGGTGACGGTATAAAAAATGACAGCATAATGACACCTGTTTCTTTGTTAATTATTAATTACTCAACATGCCACAACMCCCCCCCCCCCCCAATACTGAATACTGTTGTATTCTCTAAATGTTATAACATGGTATGAAAACTGATCAACACCAACCAACCTTAACTGGGAGTACTAAGCTATTAGCAAAATCTCAGTACTCGTGATGCAAAGCTGTGCACGATGTGATTGAACTGTAAGGTTGGGCAATATTGGCAAAAAACTAAATCACGATTAATTGTGGTATTTAGCCGATAACGATTAATTTGACGATTAATCCCCTGGAGTCCCTGGACACACTTATTTCATAATCATGTGACCAATTTAGTGGGAAAGATTTGCTCTTCATAAAAATCTGTTCCAAATTTTGTCAAAATCACAGACTTCAGGCTATACATCAAATTTTACATTGTGTTGATAGATAAATAAGTTACAGAACTTTTTTTAATGTTCGTTATATTTGAAGCGGAGAGGAGCAGCGAGCGAACCCTGCCTGTTGGCATTAATCATATTAATTGTCAAGTGCCAAAAATTAATCGATTAATGTTTTTCGGATTATTAATTGCACACGATACGATTGTGCCCAACCGTATTGAACTGGTAGAGCAGCGACGTCTGATGAAGTTATGGGACTACATCTAGATGTACGAGTCTATTACATCCTCGAACCGATCCAAACTGAACCTTTTAATGAATATACAAAGAGTCCGCAAGCAGACTTGTTTATACAAGTATCTACAATTTTTTTAATTAATGAAAAGTTAAAACTTTTTAGCTATGTTTATGTATCCAGAACGATCCACTGTCTTCTCTACCTGTTGTGTAGTGGTATTGTTTTTTTCCCCATAAATAACACACTGTTYAAGTGGAGGACTGCCACAGCACCAGTATAAACAGCAACAAATACTGAAAAGTGTGCTTCAACCTGGTCATATCTACTAATGTCCTAGAGGAAAAAAGCTTTAACTTGAGTTTTATTATTTACAATGTGAAAAAAAATACATTTGCTGCTCACTGCTGATCTGCTGACACAGTAGACTAATAAACTCACCTGCTGCTGCCAGTTTTATTCATTTTTATTTACATCAAGCTTCATTTATGAACTGTGGAGGCATGTAGGAGGGTGCAGCTTGAGAAGAATTGAGGAAAAATGGCCACAAATGTTTCCATGATTCAGCTTTGATTCACCAAATGGAAACCACCAAGACCACCCCCAACACCCACCCACCCCCACACACAAACAAGTTGGGGGGGAGGTTATTATCTAAATAAAGCCTTTCTCTAGACCCAGTGGTAACCAAARAAATCACTGAACTTGACAGCTTTCAGTATTTAACATGTATGTTTTTTACATKTTTACCAAGAACTACTGTGTTTTATCAAGTAAACAAAACAAAAAACTGCAGTGTGCCAGTCATGGAGGAGTGGTCTAGAGACGATATTACCAACGCGGACACGTTGTTGTTTCGACCATAAAAACAACAATTTTGTATCAAACTCTTAATCTGAATACGCTGCTCCGAAAAAAATGCGTTTCACCAGGTAAAGTGCGGTTATTCTAATTTATCTATAATGGTGATAATGATAAATAAAAAAAAATACACATGTACGTATAAAAGTAAACTGGCCTGCTTAGGAAACTAGCAGACGTAAAGACAAACAAAAAGATGGTGAAATGTAGCGTGGAACCTGGTGATTTAGCTGCTCTGGTGTTTAATCATAACGGACTCTAAACAACCTGAGCGAGGGAGAGGCGGCGCTGCGGGAACAACAACGTGGGAGAGAGAAAAAAAACGAGGTTGCTCACCCAGAAGATGAAGTTGCAGAAAAACAGCAGGTACTTGATGAATTTGGTACAGCCTTCGACACCCATGATGGTCCGATAAACAATACGTTCGTGGCGGAGTTTCCTAAGAGGTGCAGCGGCGGAGGAATCAGACGGATAACGGGCTCGAGCTCAACTAAATCCTGCTGGTTCTGCTCTTGGAAGGGTCAACACCCAACTCCTCCTCCACGCCCTCCTTTACGGAGCCTCGTGTATGGCAGGCCCTTACTACATATAATCAAATCACAGACAACACAATCTCAAGCCATTTTAAACAGTATCATGCAACATCTACTTCTTTAGCAATTAAATGCATTCTGTTTTATAATTGGAGTCACTAGGAGTGCATAAATTTGAATTTTGTCTCTYCCGGTGCTTCAAAAATATCTACATTCTTTTTCAGTTTTCTATATTTTCAGTTCATATAAATGCTATTTTGTAAAGTGTCCTGATGCATCTCAGTAATCCAGGTAAAAAAAATCAAAAAGAAAAAAATTGTGTAGGTCTTCTGGACGGGTTCTTCTCTAATGAAACATTTCGTCTCTCCTCCAAGAGACTTCTTCAGTCTGAGAGTTTCAGGCAAAATTCAGGCTTTTAAGCACTGCCTCCATGTGACTGATACTCACATCACATGGCTATCGTTGACACCTAATTAACACTTATGTTCTCATTCTTGATAGAGAGGAACGTTGGTTTGAGAGAGGAGTAAAAGAAGCCATTTT